TCAGCAGTGATATCCACTTCTGAATCCAGTTTGAATTTCCATCAGTTCTGTCAATCTAATGCTACAACCTGTTTGTGGTGGTTAAGTTTGTGTGTGAACTTGGCTGGGTCTGGTTGAGTGGCTGGGCAGCTGAATGTGGTTATTCCCCATGGTGAGATTGGTAATAAACTCCATGGTGGAATCTTGTGGAGCAGGTGAGTAGCTGCTTTGGGGATGTGGTCTGCTTCCGTATATAAGAAACAGCTTTGGGAATGGTCTCTAGCTTATGGCACGCTTGAACCCTGCATGTAGTTGTGTCGTTGTTCAGCAGCCTGCCATGCTCTGCTGACCTTGGGACTTTCAATGGACTTGAATTAATGACCTGCCATGTGCTTTGGTAACATCAGGACTGTGCCTTTTTACTTGTCAGGCTTGGGCTTGTCAGCCTCAGCAGCCAGCAGCTGAGTGAAGAAAAGCCTCTAGCTCCAGTGGGCTGGGAGCAGGAGGCAGAGCTGAAGGCCAAGGTTGAGGGGCTTTCACCCAGCCCCTAGAGCCTGGCACTTTCACCTCGGACTTAAAGCCTCCAAACTGTTAGTTCAAGCTGTTCCATTTGTGGCACTAGGTAATCAGAACACCATTTTTGAATTTTCTTGAGCAAAACTGCAGTGATGTGAGTGATGTTGTTCCATAACATCCACAGTTGTCGGATCATCTTCCATTGGGATGAGCACAGATAGGGATCTATGCCATTCAGTCGGCCAGGTAGTCATCTTCCAGATTTCTTGGCATAGAGAAGTGAGTAGTTCTAGCACTGAATTTGTTTGTTGAAACATGTCAATTGGTATTCTATCAGTTCCTGAAGCTTTTTTTTTTCACCAGTTCCTTCACTGCAGCTTAGACTTCTTCCTTCAATACCATCAATTCTTGATCAACTGCTACCTCCTGAAATGGTTGAATGATGATCAGTTCCTTTTGGTACTGAACCAAAAAATCAAACCCACCGCCATCAAGTCGATTTTGACTTTAGGATGCTTTAGGACAGAGTAGAACTGCCCCATAGGGTTTCCAAGGTTATAAATCTTTGCAGAAACAGACTGTCTCATCTTTCTCCCGTGGAACAGCTGGCAGCTTCAAACCACTGACCTTTTGGTTAGCATTCGAATGCTTTAACCACTATACCACCAGAGCTCCTTCTCTTTGGCATAGTAACTCTATATCCCTTCCATCCTCCTTTGATAGTTCCTGTGTCATTCAGTATTTTGCCCATGGAGTCCTTTAATATTGCAACTCAAGGCTTGAATTTTTCTTCAGCTCTTTCAGCTTGAGAAATGCTGAGCATGTTCTTCCCTTTTGGTTTTCTAACCCCAGATCTTTGCACATTTCATTATAATACTTCACTTTGTCTTCTAGAGCCACTCTTTGAAACCTATTCTTCACCTCTTTTACTTCATCATTTCTTCCAGTTTCTTTAGTTACTCTACATTCAGGGGCAAGTTTCAGAGTCTCTTCTGACATCCATTTTGGTCTTTTCTTTCTTTCCTGCCTTTTTCATGACCTTTTGCTTTCTTCATGCATTTATGTCCAGGATGTCATCCCACATCTCATCTGGTTTTCAGTCATTAGTGTTCAATGTGTCAAATCTGTTTTTAAGATGGTTTCTACATTCAGGTGGTCTATACTCAAGGTAGTATGTTGGCTCTCATAGACTTGTTTTAATTATTTTCAGCTTCATCTTGAACTTGCATATGAGCATTGATGGTCTTTTCTGCAGTTGGCCCTGGCCTTGTTCTGACTGATGACATTGAGCTTTTCCATTGTCTCTTTCCACAAATATAGTTGATTTGATTCCTGTATATTCCATCTGGTGAGGTCCATGTATGTAATTCTAGCTTATGTTGTTGAATAAGTCATTGGTCTTACAGAATTCTATCATGTCATCTCCAACGCCATTCCTATCATCAAGGCCATATTTTCCGACCACCAGTCCTTCTTTCTTTCCAATTTTTGCTTTCCAATCACCAGTAATTATCAGTGCATCTTGGTTGCATATTTGTTTTTAGACTGTAGAAATTGGTAAAAATCTTCATCTTCTTTGTGTTTGGCGTTAGTGGTTGGTATGCAAATTTGAGTAGCAGCTCTATTAACTGGTCTTCTTTGTAGGCGTATGGATGTTAGTCCTATCACTGACAACTCTGTATTGCTGGATACATCTTGAAATGTTGCCTTTGCTGATAAATGTGACGCCATTCCTCTTCAGTTTGTCATTCCCAGCATAGTAGATCATATGATTGTTCAGTTCAACTCAGAAATGCCTAGGATATTGGTCTTTGGGCATACTATTTCAGTTCTGACAACTTGCGATTTTCCCAGACTCATCCTTCGTACATTTCACATTCTGATTATTAATGCATAATTGTAGGTGTTTTTCTTATATTTCAGATGATGTACAAGAAGCTTACAACTTAATTAAGGATCTAGAACCTACTACTCCTCAGGTAATTAATAATGTTTTACATTCGTACCAACCAAGTTCTGTTGATAGTCAGTAGAACTTCAGAAATGTAGCTGAAAGACCCTAAATATTGATCTAGACATTATATTCCACTGTAGTGATGCTTCTGAGATGAAAGTTAATATTCTGGGCTTTCTGATGTTTTTAAACTCCCTTCTGTGTGGTCATTCTTCAAGAGGGTTAACATTTGAGAATACTCAAATCTCGTGTGATGATGAAACTAACAACTAGGTATGTGTAGGTCGTCCCCGACTTATGACGTTGTCAAGTATGACTCACAGCACTTGTGACCATACCCTTTTTTTGGGTACATCTTGTTGTTAATGATATGTACGACATACGGTATGCAGCATGGAATCTGCTAAGGTTATCATTCTCATCCCAACCCCCAAACACAAATAAAAATACTGATAATAACGAAAAAACAATGAGGTAGTCAACTTAGGTCAGAACCAACGTATGATGGAGTTATCAGAACAGGACCCCGTTGTAAGTTGAGGATCCCTGTACACGTGTCTCACAAGGATAATCTTCCATAACTTTCGTTTCTCCCCTACTGGATTGTTAATCCCTTCCAGTCAGGGACTGTGTCTGTGTTGTACGGCCAGTGCTAAGTACACTGCCTGACACGTAGTAGGCATTCCTTTTATTGAGCGAGGGAATGAATGAAAATGTTCCCAGGCCCCATGGGGTCTGATCAGGCATGTTTCTCAAGTGTATTAAAAGCTTCAGCATCTTTCACACAGCACTTTACTTGAGTCTCCTCAATAAAATGAACCTTCCCATAAACATCGGTACAACTGCTGAGGGAGGGAATCTGTCAAAAACTTGAATCAAATCTGAAGCAGAGGCCGGGTCTTCCAAACGAGAGACTGCCTTACACGTGGGAGTCAGAGGTTTTTTTTTTTTTTTTTCCTGAGGGGAAGGACCACTAGGAAAAGAAAATTATTAAGCAGTTGGCAGAGGAAAATAGCACATATGATACAGTCACAGACAGGAGCGGCAGCTGATAAGGTGATAGAAAATCTTACATCAACATTGTACTGGTAATGTTTTCCCATTGAGTTGAAATAAAACACGCTTTATCTCCTGGAAGTTTGCACTGAGTTATTTCTGCTGAAGAATGAGAATTTGCAAAAGGTGAATTCTGTTATTTATCTGCTGTCTCCTGGGAATTAAACGGAAAGGCTCCTAATTCTATCATTTAAGGCAGGAGCTGAACAAACAGACTCTGGGTAACTTTTGTTCATATTTACTGAGCGTTGAGTCAACACAAGGAATTAGCACGAAAGGTGGATCTCCTAGGCCTACATTCCTCTCAGATTAATCAGTGTTTTTCCATGTTTCCAGGAGTATATCCTCAAAGGAGTAGTCAACGCAGCCCTTGGCCAGGAAATGGGGTCGGTGAGTCACTGGTAGTCCATAGTTTACAGAGTTCCCATGTGTGGAAAAGATGAGAAAGGCAGGCCCAGGAGCTTACAGACGGGCTCCTCTGCGGGTCCCTCCTTCGTCTGCCCCCAGCCCGGACCCCGTTGTCTGAAGAGCCGTGTGTTCCTTGGAGACAAAGGGGAGGTCTGGAGGCTGAGAACCGCTCTGTTTGGACGGAGCCCTGTCTCCAGCAGCGCAGCGGCGGATCCCTGCACTGCTGGGTCCTGGGGCAGGACTTGGCTTTCCTAACCGTGGGCTCTCCGAGCTGTGATCTCGTCATGTGTGAAATGGGGAGAAATATTCTCTGGGAAAAAACACTGTCTGCAGATAAACTGTTACTCATTAACAGGCTGTAGTAAGTTCTTTCTGGAACAGCCAAGCCATTGCTGTCGAGTTGAATTCCGACTTAGTGATCTTATAGGACAGAGTAGAATTGCCCCAGAGGGTTCCCAAGGCTCTCATCTTCATGGAAGTAGACTGCTGCATCTTTGTCCTGAGGAGCAGGTGGCGGGTTCAAACCACCAACCTTTCGGTTAGCAGCCAAGCATTTAACCACTGTGCCACCAGAGCTCCTTTTTGGAACAAAGTAGGATATGAATAAATCTTTGTATCTCCAGCTTGCTCCCCTTTGCCCACAGTGGACAGGCAGTAAATAGTTGTTGAATACAAAATGTCGTTAAGTAAATACTCATTGTTACAAGTGTAGTTCTTATGTAGGGTCTGATACATGGAACAAGAGCAGTAAATACCTGTTGAATGAGTTTATTAGTGAGGGTACCATCAGGATAGAATTGGGCTTTGGAATTGTTTCCCCCTTTTCTGTCTGACCCTGGGTGGGTTTTAATTTAGTTTCAGGTTATCTTTTTCCCCGGCTTGTGGTAACCAGAATTAATACTGTTTGTGTCAACATTTCACACACATGAAATGCTGACATGTGTTAAACCCACAAAGGGTGATACAAATAAGGTATCTTCCCTTCTCCCTGTACACCAGCTCTGCTTTCATTTTTCCAGAGGGACCATATGAAAATTGCGCAGCAATTCTTCCAGCTGGTGGGAGGATCAGCGAGTGAATGTGGTATGTCTGGCATCCGTTCTTAGGAGCGTGGCTCATCGTTGGGTCTGAGCGTAGACCTACCGGGGCTGTTTCTCTGTCCGGGGCACATCTGTGAGGAGTCCCCTTATAAAGCAGGAGGCCAGGAATAGGAGAGAAAACTGCCATGCCTTCCCAGAACTGTCTCAGCTTAAGGGAGTGGGAGATGAAACACAGGTGCTTAAATGCATTCTGCACTTCCTGAGAGTTTAAAACTGTGGATTTGGTCTTCAGTTTTAAATGTTAGTTTTTAGTAATTTATCAGGCTTTCTAGATACACTAATGTTTTGCCATGTTGCAGATGTTTTTCTCTGATGATGTTTTGCCTTTTGACTGCCTACAATATTTTTTTCCTATATTAAAGTTTTATTTAGTTAAGTGTACCTTTTCTCTAAGGACTTCTGACATTAGCATCAAACTTAGGAAGTGCTTTCATACCCCAGTTATCTGGTAGTCACCTAGGTTCTCCACTAGTGATCTTGTGGCTGCAATTTTAGGAATCAAGACTCAGGTTTGAGGACGGCTGTATAAAGGCCGGAGGCCCACGCGAACCGCCACGGCGGCCTGTGTCATTTTCTGTAGCTGCCCTTTGTTCTGAATCATCCGTGTTCATTCTGAGCTGGGAGTTAAATATTATTCTCACTCCCTGGATATTTACTTTCTTTCAGATGTTTAGCTAACACTGTTCATTTAATATTTTCCTCCGTTTCATTCATTCACTCATGCAACGAGAACTTACTAAGGTCATGGGGATACAGGAATGAGGAAAAGAAAACCCTGCTCCCTTGTGGGGCTTCCAGTCTGGTGGGGACAGCCAAGCTGTTCAACGCAATAAAGCAATGCATTATTACGTAGTGTATCAGACTGTGATAAGTGCTGTGGAACCAGCACTGAAGCGGGTGGGGGAGACCGAGCATATCGTCGATGGGGTGAAAGTCCCGCTGACCCTCCACTACCCCAAATGGGAATCTGCTGTCGGCAGGACTCAGTGCTACCTCAGGTCAGGGGCTTCCACGTGGGCTATCTCTGCACTCGAGATTGGGATGCCAGGTTGTCCTAGGCAAGTGAGGATGGAGACTAAGCCACATGAGCCGAGGGTGTAGGAGTTAGGGCTGGATGAGCATCAGAGTCCCGGAGAACCGTCTGGGAATCCTTTAGCCAGTGCCCCCGCCGGGCATTGCTCACCTGGGGCTCTGCGAGGTAACCCCCAGGAAGATGACTGGTCACTCAGAGAACCCTGACTCCATGACGCTGGACTGTCGCCCACCACAGAGAATCTAACTCCAGAGTCTAGAAGCATGTGTTGGGATCCGTTCCTCCCTCTCAATCATAAAATAACTTGAATTTCAGCTACAGCGAACTTTTCGTTTGTGAACATACATGGTGTCTCCCCTCCATTTCAGATACGATACCAGGGAGGCAGTGCATGGCTTCCTGCTTCTTCCTCCTGAAGCAGTTTGATGACGTCTTAATTTACCTCAACTCATTTAAGGTCAGTCAGCTACGAGGCCTGTGTCTGAGAAAATAAGATGCTCCTGGAACTGGCCGTTTCTAGGTGGGATTTTTTGCGTCAGCTAACCCGTAAGATTGTTTCTGTGTTCATCTGCCATTAGGATGTGTCTGTTCTATATGTTGAAGTTGAGCGTGACCTGTTCTTGGGCTGTTTTCCAGAGCTACTTCTACAACGATGACATCTTTAACTTCAATTACGCACAAGCCAAAGCTGCGACAGGCAACACCAGGGAGGGCGAGGAGGTGGGTGCCTGCCTTCGGAAGCATCTGCATGGTTCTGTCTGAAACACCTGGTTTGTCTTCTTCTCACTGGAGTAACATGGTCTCGGGTAAAGGACCATTGAACCCTTGAAGGTTCCTTTCCTGCTAGGTTCCAGTAGAAAGTGCAGCGGGACGGGCACCCTATTAATCATACTACGGGTTTTCTCCTTTTTTTGGTAAATTTTATGGAAGTATAACATAAATAGGAGCCCTGGTGATGCAGGGGCTCAGAGCTCGGCTGCCAACTGAAAGGAGGGTGGTTCCAATCCACCAGCAACTCCGAGGGAAAAAGATGAGGCTGTCTCCTGAGAAGATTACAGCCTTGGAAACTCTATGGGGGCAGTTCTACTCTGTCTTCTAGGGACTCTGTGAGTCAGAATTGACTTGATGGCAAAAACGAAAAAACCCAACTTGCTGTCATCAAGTTGACACTGACTATAGCGACCCCCAGTTGGTTTTCCAAGGCCATAAATCTTTACAGAAGCAGACAGCCTCATCTTTCTTCAACAGAGTGGCTGGTGGAGTAGAACCACTGACCTTTTGGTTAGCAACCAAATGCTTTAATCACTACACCACTAGTTTGTTCTAGGCTTTGCTTTTATAAAGATTTATAATTTTGGAAACCCTATGGGGCAGTTCCACTCTTCCCTATAGGATCATTGAGAGTCAGAATTGATGGGTTTTTGAATTTAGAACCTTCATGTAGAAAAGTATACAAATCATAAGCATATAGCTTAATGGATTTTCATAAAGTAGATACACCTATATAATCAGTACCCAGATCATGAAACAGAATGTTATCCGGGCTCTATTTCTGTTCTCCTTTAGAGTGACTACTCCTCCCCTCAAAGCTAATCATTATCTTGACTTTTAACTCCATAGTTTGATTTGTCTGAATTTGAAACTTATACATATGAAATCATATAACATGTACCTGTATCATATGGCTTCTTTTGTTCAAAATTATGTTTGTGAGATTCATCTGTGATGAAATTCATTTATGTTGTTGCTTGTAGCTCTTTTTCATTCATTCTTGTCATTGTATAGTTTTCCACAGTTTTAATCCGTTCTCCTGTAAATCAGCATTTGGGTTATTTATAGTGTTTGGCTATTAGAGATACCGCTGCCATGAACATTCTCGTACATGTCTTGTGGTGAACATACGTATGCATTTCTGTTGGGCATATAACTAGAAGAGGAATATGCCTGTTACCCAATTGCTAGGTCATAGAATATGCACATGTTCAGCTTCAGTTGATGTGGCCAAATAGTTTTCCAAAGTGGTTGAACCAGTTTATGCAGTTCCAGCAGTGTATGAGTTCCAGTCACTCCACATCCTTGTCAGCACTTGATATTATCTGGATTTTTATTTGAGCCATTCTGGTGGACATAGATTTAAGTTGCAGTTCCTGATTACTAGTGTAACCGAGTTCCTTTTCATGTTTTTTGTCTACTAGATACCCTCTTTTGTGTATCCTGTGTAAGAAATGTTTGCCTATGTAATATATTTATGCTCATTATTACCTGTCTCCTTTAGCTTGCATGTGAATTTCACAAGGGCAGTGATTTGGTCTGTCTTGTGTGCTGATGTGTCCAGATGCTTAGATCAATATCTGGTACTTAGTAGGAACGTAATATATTTTTATTGAATGAATATATGAATGATTCAGTCAGTCAATCTCAGGATCACAATGTTGAGTGTGAAAAAAGTTATAGAAGAAAACACGTAGCGAGATGTGAAACGGGATGTAAGCACGGACACTCAGGGTGGTGAACTCAGTTCAGAAAAAAGCCCGATGACATGCAGTGATGTGTAGTTGGGAAGGTAAACTTGTGTTCCCATTTGTTTGAAAAATATGTTTGTTTGTATGTATATTAAATGTTCCTAAAGAATATATAAAAAGCATTAATAGCCATGTATACGGTTGACATAACAATGTTTCTACAAGTGTATTTTTATGTTCCGTAAGAATTTCCAGGTATATAGTAAAGCTGACAGGAGATGAGGTTGTAGTCACTTCTTGGCAACAGCCAGCTACCCAGAGGGAGCAAGTAGTTTGACCTATGGGCTTGAGACCATGGTCACAGGGGACATCAAGTTCAATTGGCATAACATACTACACAAAACATTGTTCCACCTCCTACTTTATCCAGGTAAGAATTAAGTAAGGGGAGGGCGGAGAGGTTTCCAACAGCTAAGGGAGAGAAACTCGTCTGTCAGTTTGTCATCCTGTGGGGATTAAACGTTGCTGTGAGGCTTGAGGCTGTGCCACTGGTGTTTTGTCAAATGCCAACAGGGTTGCACATGGTGCACAGGTTTCAACTCAGCTTACAGACTGAGACAGACTAGGAAGAAGGAAGAGGCCATCCACTTCTCAAAAATTGGCCAGGGAAAACCTTATGAATAGCAGAGAAGCACTGTCTGATATATTACTGGGTGCAGGACCGGGCAGTGTTTCATTCTGCTGTGCATAGGGTCACTGAGTTGGAGACAACTTGACAGCACCTAACAACAACAACACATCCAACTTTGGTGAGTAGAGACTGGGATCTTAAAACCTTGCAAGTGGCCATCTAGATGCAACTATGGGTCTCACCTCATCCAGGGCAAAGAAGAATAAAGAAAACCAAAGACACATGGAAATAATTAGTCCAAGGGACTGGTACACCATGCCATCCTCAGCCTATACGACTGTGAGACTAGAAGAACTAGATAGTGCCTGGCTACCACTGTCAGCCACTCAGAGTGGGGTCTGTGTAGGAGATCCTGGATAGAGAGGAAGAACAATGTGGAACAAAACTCAAAATCATAAAAAAAAAAAAAAAAAAAAGCGACGAGGTTTGCTGGTCTGATGGAGCCTGGTGGAACCACTGAGGCTATGGCCCCCAGCTGCCCTTCAGGTCTGGAATTGCACCCATTCCTGTGGCTTCCAGCCAAACAAAAGACAGGCATATGAGCTGAACTTTTACATTAGGTAGATATACTCCTTGGAGAGATCAATCATGGGAGAATAGAAGGGCTTTGTATGTACAAGGAGACAGCTTAGGGGGCAGGAGTACGTGGGAGGGAAGGACACAGGGAAGAGGTGGCTATGGGGAGGAAGTGGGAGGGGAGCTGTTGCATTGTGGGAGATTGCAGTCAGTGTCATGAGACAAAGTGTATGTGAGCTGCTGTATGGAAAGTGAATTTGCTCTGTAAACTTCCACCCAAATCACGAGAATTTTTTCTTTTTTTAAAAAGCATTAGTAGCAGTTACCTTACAGCACTGAAACAGGGCACTGAAAAGGTATATCTTCCTTTTGAGCATGACTCTTTTGCCAAAAGAATGTATTGGTTTTTTAATTTAAAAAAGATTTAAGGCTGCAAGAAAAGATGCTTAGAAAGATTTTCTCCAAAATGTACTCAAAGTTTGAGAGTTGCAGGCCCTAACTCTCAATGAGATGGATTGGCACAGTGGCTGACACAGTGCTCAAAGCTAGCAGCAGTTGTGAGGGTGGCACAACGGTTGTGAGCAGGCAGCATTTTGTTGTGTCGAACGCGGGGCTGCTGTGAGTCGGAATCGATTCAACACCACCAAATGAGAAGCCATGGTTACTTTATGTGGAATGTTTCATGCTGGATAGATAGTGTGTGATGTCCGTTACACTGACATTCGTGACCTTTAAGTATATTTCTGACGTTTTAATTTTTGCATTCTGAGTTATCACGTGGTTTATTTTCCATCCTTCCCTTTTCTTAGCAGACTGTGTAGAATTTAGTCACCTTTGTTGTTATGGCCTGCCATCGGGTTGATTTTGACACGCAGTGGCCTGTAGGGCCGAGTCAAACTGTTCCTCAGAGGACCCAGGGTTGTATATAGGAGCTGACTGCTGCAGCTGCCTCCTGTGGAGCAGCTCATGGGTTCGACCCTTCCGGCTAATGACTTGGAGCACCGACCCGCCAGGGTGACCTTGCTCATCACCCTGAGGTGAGCTGCTGAGAGTAGGGACTTCAGCGCACGCAGCTTTACGGTTTCCCTTCTTTCCTCTTCTGGCAGGTGTTCCTCCTGATCCAGAGTGAGAAGATGAAGAGCGACTACGTCTACCTCAGCTGGTTAGCTCGGTGCTGTGAGTCTCCTTCACGCGCTACAGGGCGTCCACTTTATCCTCTCTGCGGCATAGTCTCCTGGGTGGAATTGAAAATGGCTGTTTTCTGCTTTTGTGCAATGAATGAGCCCTGAAGTTAAGTGTTGTTAATGCCACAGTGAGGTTGCATTGTGCAGTATGACAAAGCTACCCTGTGATTGGTCCCCCAGCACCATGGCCCAGCACTTAGATCAGGCCTTGCAGTTGTAAAGGTGCCATGGTCTCCCATCAGCACCCCGGAAGCTTCCGGGCTCTCAGGGCAGTGGCGTTGGTGGGATGACGCGGTGACACTCTGACCCGCTCACTGTGGCGCAGGCCTGAGAAGGGACAGTGCACCGAAAGTGCCCACTTTGTACACCCTGCAGCCTGCGCCTTCTTGCTTGCTCTTCCCTTCTCCTCTTTATTTTACTCGAATTTGAAGTGCTCACTGAGTTTTTGTGGTCACAGGGAGATTTTAGCCATCAGATACTGTAAGGAAGGTTGGACTTCATGGCTAGGATTGACTGAAGGACCACTGTTCCCTTCTAAGCTCATGAATAGAATGAGAGCAACTAGAAATCAACCGATCTAAAAAGGCGTGGTTCTCTGGCGTCCTAACAAATGCTTCAGCTAAGGTAGAATCTGCCGGGAGACCAGCCGGCTAACAGCACCGCGTAGGCTTCCTGTGATGCAGATCCAACCGTCACTTTGTGTCTCTTGAGTGTAGGACTGCGGCCACAGGGCAGTAGGATGTGGCAATGTGTCTCTCATACACTGAGAAGCAAAGCCTCTGCTGCTGTTGTTTGCAGATATTATGAATAAGAAACCGAGACTGGCCTGGGAGCTTTATCTGAAGATGGAGACGTCGGGAGAGTCCTTCAGCCTCCTGCAGCTTATTGCGAATGACTGCTACAAGGTGCGTCTGTGGGGCCGGCGGTGGGCAGAGAGCAGCCCTGCACGCCACGCTGGCTGGCGGACGTTGGGAACCCATGCTCCAGGGGGATCCCCAGCATGACACCAGACCAGTCCTTTTATGAACTGACCTCCAAGAGGGGCACTTTTCAGGCTTTCACTCATATATGAAACAATGACTTAGGGAGGACGGTTAGATTTCAGGAACGTGAATCTTAGGGGCCATCCGGCCGAGATCGCCTCTGGTAGTTGGAAAGTTGCTTCTGCAGCTCCCGAGAGCTGTCCCCTGGCATCTGGGGACACAGAGTGGAATCCTCAGCATTGAAATAATGATTGAAGTCCTGAGAAGAAGTGAGACTGCCCAGGACAGGAAGTAAAAGGAGAAGTGCAGGGGTCACAGACCAAACCTGGGGGAAGACCACGGTGCAGATGGTGGACAGGAATACACAGGAGAGGCAGAGGGACCAGAGGAAGAGGATGAGGTGCCAGTCAGATTTAGGAAGGGGCTGTGTGTGCGAGAGAGAGAGGGAGAGAGAGAGAGAGGGAGAGAGAGAGAAAGAGAGGGAGAGGAGTTGGAGCGGCAGGGAGGACAGAGGAGTCTGGGGTCCTGCCCTGAGGCCCATGGAGGTGGTCGGCGCTGAGTCAGTTCTGACGTGTATCCGCCCCGGGTGTGCAGAGCAGCACTGGGCTCCACAGCGTTTTCTTGGCTGTAATCTTGACAGGCCTTTTCTTATGGCGCTGCTGGGTAGTTTCAAACTGCCAGCCTGTGGGTGAAAGACCACTTGTGCCTCCCAGGGCCCCTGTCCTCCAGATTCAAAGCCTTTAAATACTGAGCCTCAGGGATTCTGATGCGTAACTACACACACGGTACCAATGCCACCTTCCTGGGTGTGACCCCGGTGTTGTGGGACACTGTGGTGTTGTGCTGTACTCTGTGAGCTGTGACCCCTCGGAGAGCTGGGGAAGGCCCCAGGCCTGCTCTGCACAGTCTTTGTAACTCCCTGGGACCCTGTCTTTATCCCCAGGTAAGTTTTGAGGAGCTGAGCCTCCTAGAGCTGTGCTGGATAATCGGGATGAGTCTTAGGGACATAAGGGTAATGGAAGCAGGACAAAGGCTGTCACCCAGCTCCAGTGCCGAGAGGCAGAGCTCCACGGTGTCGTCTAAAGGTGCGGACGTAGATGGTGAAGCTGGAAAATCGAGCAGGCATCCCTCCAGGGAGCGGGAGTGGGCGTGCTCCGGAGTGACAGGGGCGGCCTTTAGAGAGCGGGAGCAGCGTGCTCTGGAGTGCCGCAGGGAGTGGCCGTTTTGCTGTTGGAGGTTCATTTCTTGACCCAGGCAGTGGTTACCCTTGTGTTAAAAGTTAGACTTTTAATCAGCCGTTGATCTGTCGTGTGCGTTTTTGCACCATTCTATGTGTGCGGTTACACGATAAAAAATAAAAGCGCAGAGGACGACGGTCTGACCTTGAAGGGAGTAAGGTCTCTTCCTGTGACGGAGGCAGAGAGGACGGAGGCTGCAGGAGGTGGGAGGATACTCTGACTGAAGGAGGAAGGCAGGTGTCCCCGTGAGGTTCAGGGTCAAGCTAAGCTGAGAATGCACTTGAAGCCTCACGAGGTCGGTAGAGGTTGAGAACAGCAGCCAACAGGAATGGAGGAGTAACTGACCACATGGCGGGAGGCGGCCTGACATGTGAAGCCATCAGCACAGTTAGTGTCATGGGCATTTCTGAGGCCATCAGGAAAACTCAGCTGAGCAAACTGTATCAGCATGCCCTTCAGGGCCAAGGACGTGTTGTTTATTTGGGAAAGATGTCCGTCAAAACAAGTGCAGTGCACGTGTAGGCGTTGGGGGAATTTGGGAACAAGGTCGGGGAAAACCACTCTGGCAGGTTGAACCTGATCATGAATGATAGGAGTGATTCACGGGATGTCTTGAGGAGACTTGAAAACACCTAGTTGAAAGCACGGTCATCAGAGTGTGTCCCAGGATTAGAACTAAATTAGAAGGAATGACCAACGTGTCGATGACAGCCTCACTTGACCGTGCATAGAAAACAGTGCACTGAGAACTGAACGGGTGTAGGTGGGCGGACTTAAATGGAACTCAGGAGCCCACCTGTGATCCTCTTCTTCCTTGTTTTAGTGTGGAGGGGGCCCTAGCTGATTGCTCACTGAACATGTTCTCCTTACCCGGGCACGGGTTGTGTTCTGTCTTGGGGTGTCTGTATGTCTTGTTTCACTCTGCTGTTTTCTGCCACAAGTTTTACCATAATGCCTTCCTCCATGCAGGTGGGCCAGTTTTTCTACTCAGCCAAGGCCTTTGACGTCCTCGAGAGGCTGGACCCCAACCCTGAGTACTGGGAAGGCAAGCGGGGCGCCTGTGTGGGCATCTTCCAGATGATCCTGGCGGGCAGAGAGCCCAAGTGAGTGAGCAGGCCCAGGCCTGCCTCTGCACGCCGGTCCGTTTACGAGGGAAAGCATGGCTTTCCTGGGTGACGTCTTTTGGAAGGGCAGAATTTGAAAGCAATTTTAGAACGATGAGTAAAATGTTGAGATGGTCTATTTTTATCTGATATCTTTCATCCAGATTTTCTGTATTTTGTAGAATCAGATTGTTGTAAATCAGACACCGGAGACGTGGTGTGCCCTGCGGCCCTCCAGCAGGACGAGGGCCACAGTTAGGGGCGTGGAGTGCCCCGCGGCACTGCGGTGTCTTTTAATTTAGACCCAGAGAACGCCGAGCAGAGTAATGCGTCACAGCATAGAAGGTGGAGACTTCTTTGCTGTTATTTGTTTGTTTGCCTTCTCATAGTCTTAGAAATACTGAGAAGATTACATGAAATTAAGTGGCTTGTGACTGCATTGTTGTTGTTGTTGTTGTTATGTGCCGTGGAGTCAGCCCTGACTCATAGCGACCCCTCCTTGGGTTTCCGAGGCAGTATCACTACGGAAGTAGGATTGCCCAACCTTCCTTCCGAGGAGTGGCTGGTGGGTTTGAACCGCCAGCCTTCTGGTTAGCAGTCAAGTGCCTTAGCCACTATGCTACCAGAGCTCCCGTGACTGCATTATAACATTGTAAAAATTCAAACATTTAAAACTACATTCTGTTTTCTAAAAATAACTTCATGGACTATATTTGTTACTGATGTATGAATAATAAATTTTATAAGTAAGTAATCTGTCAGAAATTCCTCCCTGCCTGACATCTAGTGCCGCACCTGAGTGAAATGACAGAGGGGACCGAGGCTGCTTGAGGAAATGCAGGAGGGACGGGGAGCGGCCGCAGGGAAGCCAGGGTTTGCGAAGGGAGTGGGGATGTTTGCATGCGAAGTAGAGGGTCCGTGAGAAAGAGGAGGGCCCTCAGAGGTTGGACTGACACCGTGGCTGCCACCGTGGCTCAGAGACAGCAGGCCACGTGAGGCTGGTGCGCGACCAGGCGGGGTTGGGTTGTATCGTACACAGGGTCACTGTGAGCTGGAACTGATTTGATGGCCCCTAAGAACAACAACAACTTAAAACCTACGTTTTAAGTTAATTTAAAATTAATTGAAACACAGACTTGGGGCGCTTGCCAAATCTTAGGCCTTGACTCTCCTTGCCCGTATTGATTAGTCTGTGCTTTCCCTCGGAGAAGTGCCCCGTTCCTCGGCTTTGTGAAGCTGTGTAAATGTGTGTGCGTGGATGTCCACATGCTCGTTGTCATTCTCTGCTGAACACTCTGCCCCTCCGTCTTCTCCTCAGAGAGACCCTCCGAGATGTGCTGCATCTGCTGAGGAGCACGGGGAACACCCAGGTGGAGTACATCATCCGGGCCATGAAGAAGTGGGCCAGGGAGAACAGGGTGCCTGTCTGAAGTGCACAGGGGGCCGGCACGTCGCTGACGCCACACTCGCCGCTCTCTGCTGTCAGCCTTGCCCTGCCTTGGTCTGCAGGCCTCCAGGCCGGTGACTGACTCTCAGACAGCCTCAGCCTCCGCTGTGGCCCTGGGGCATTCGACCGGCAATAAGACCTTGGGCCCCCCCCCCCACCTTCCTTCCAGAAAGCTCCACGCCCCCTGATGTAATTGACTTAAAGGAGAGCAACCTCGCGGTCTGTCTTAGTGCTTCGTGGCCTT